TCCTTCCCTCCCTCCCTACCTCCGGGAACAGCCCACGCATCTCCCGCAAGGCCTCCGAGTAATCTTCCGTGCCCAAATTTGCCTTGGTCCTGGGCGTCAGCGCGGCAAAGTACAGTCGGGGGCTTTGGAATTTCGTCATGGCAGTGAAGGTCGGGAGGCAGCCCGTGGAGGTGGAAGGGGCATCTCCTCCGGCACCCGAGGGGGCGGCGGCAAGCTTCAAATCCTCTGCCTTCTTGACAGGCGCGACAGGGGCCGTAGGAGGAGGAGGAGCGTTGTCAATGGAAGCCATAGTGAATATTCGCTGAGAACTAGTAGGAGAAAACCGGGATGTGAATTAGGGAAGGTAAGGAGATAGAAAAGAAGCAGATACATGCAGAGGTGCGCCGGCACCCGGCCAGGAGGGCAACGACAAGGACCGGTTTTATTACAGTGTCGTAAGAAGGACAGGACACGTTCCGGTGTATCGACACATGACTCTATAAAGCAAAAAGTCTTGAAGGGGGAAACATGGAAATTGAATACAGGGCTCCAATGTGGGGACACAAAGAGCAAATGGCACAGGTGCGTTCCTTCAAGTCTTCTCAAATGAAAGCTTAAGTGAAAGGGAAAATATGATTGATGCCATTACGACTTCTGCGAAGGAAGAAGGGAATGGTGAGGGAATGGAAACAAGGCGGCAGGGATACAAGAGTCTTCGCACAGGAACTTTGTTGAGTGGGGCTACAGACGTTGAATAAACATTAGTAGTGATTACCAGCATACCTCTCACCGTAATACCAAAATGCTCACGGACGTGACGAAGGAGGAAGGATGCCCGACTGTCCTGCCCGAAAAGCTAGCTACGTGTTGGGGGAGCGGCCCTGGGGTACCCCCCAACGGATATTTGAATTTTTAAGAAACGGTTTTCGATGAGGTCTTTCCCATCATATGTAGTAGCAGCCGGCATGAGCGCCCAGACCTGGCAGCAAATTCGCCTTCATTCGCCACCATTTAGAAATGTTGCAGACACAAAGTCACCCCCTCGGCTCATGTTATTCCATTTCACGATAATGCTTATGCTCCACCTTTTTGTCAAAGCCAGGCACGTTTCCACTCACGGCGTTCCGCCGCGCCGGCGCAACGACGAACGAGCCATCAGGGGATCGACTGAGGGGAGTTCAAGATGACCGCGGCCAACTTGCTTTCCCGGCCATGGAACCTGGCGAGGTTGCGTTCCATGTTTAAGGCTTACTCAACTCATGGCGTTGCAGGAGGAAGACGTGGCAGAGTGCCTGCGCGGGGAGATAGATACGGAACGATTCATGTCCCGCGTCTGGGACACACCAGAGTATGCAGCACCATCTCGGGCATACCAACCTCGACACCTGACTCAGAGCAACAAAAACCGAAACGTCATAGCCAGATAGAAATTCAGGATGCAGTCATGACTGGGGAAGATGTGGATAGCATTCGAAGTCTGAAGAGACGAGATATGCAAGCACGCCAAAGGGAAGAGGACGAGAAGAATACGCGACTGCAATCTCTCCTAGAAGAGAACGGGAATTGCCGTGCTGCTGCACGCTATTTGATGGAGGAGATGCTATCGATCGCCCCACAAGGAGAAGAACAATTAAGGGCGGAAAATTTGGATGCGGCAAAAGCGCCAGTACCCCCCCGCGGAGATCTTTTACATCGGATGATCGTTAATCTGGGTGAAATCGAAGAGGTAGACACTGCAGTCCGCATTCTCACTGCCAGCACCGCTGTAACTCACCCTCTCGACGACAAGACCCGCGGCAGCGAAGCTTGCAAGCGCCAGGCGGGCCCCATTGTACCTTTAAGAAGCTCGAGGCGAGGTCGACGGCCCCGGCCCCTGGGAGCCATCATCCATTCCAACGTTCGCCCCTCT